ACAAATTGTCCTATATTGAAAATATATACAGTAGATGTGAGAACGTACACAGGTTCGTGTTGGTTGTGGATGTTGAACAGATCCTGCTATTGGCTGCTATTATACTGCAGAATATATACATACACAAGTAGAGATATCAAGAGGCGTAGTGTCTCATTTCAGGAATTAATGTGTGTTCATTCTTTTGAACATCAAGTTTGTTGTTGGTGATGTCCTGCTCTGTCTTTATTTTCAGGAGATATTACCGGGACTGTTTTTAGGTCCCTACTCTGCTGCAATGAAAAGCAAGGTAATCTATATGGAATTTAACTCTTGGTTCTTGGAGACTGCCCAATTTTTTTTTATAGCTCCTGTTCCTTCTCCTCTTTTTCCTGTGTCTAGCTGCCAACTCTCGAGAGACAGGGCGTAACGCATATTGTGTGTGTCCGCCAAGACATTGAAGCCAATTTTATCAAACCTAATTTCCTTCATACATTTAGGTGAGTAAGAACTCAGAAGATCTTTAAACCTCAATAGCTGATGTGAACTGCTAACTGAATTTAACTTAAAAGTAAGCATTATTTGTTCGAGTGCTTTCTTTCCCATGAACTACATGTTCTTGTGTCTTTGCAGATACCTTGTGTTAGATATTGCTGACAATCCAGTGGAAAATATAATACGATTTTTCCCTAAAGTGAGTTACAAAGTGGGCTTTTTACTTTGATTGATTGATTGAAAGGAATGGTGTTTACATTGTGTTTGATGCACTGTATTTCATCTCCCCCCCACAAACAGACTAAAGAATTTATTGATAGCTGCTTAGCAACAGGAGGTAAGGATGTAAGCTATTTCTAATGTTCATACTATGATGTCGGGTAGAAAAAAAAAAAGTATTTTATCGACCATCTTTTGTCTTGTTCTTTCAGGAAAGGTACTGGTTCATGGTAATGCAGGGATATCAAGAAGGTGAGACTTTGTTTATTTAATAATTTCCCTCAATACATTCTGAGACTAATGCAGAGAACGGGGTGTGTGTATAAAACTGTCCTAAAAACTTTCCTTTATTTTTTTTCAGTGCTGCCTTAGTGATTGCATACCTTATGGAAACATTTGGGATGAAGTACAGGTGAATTTAGTTTTGTTTTTTTCCTGCTTTACCCTAGTTGAAGTCTAACCTCTTTTAATAAATCTGTGAGTTTTCCAAGAATGAATGGATTTAGATGCACATTCTGGCTGACAACCATGTACACCATGCCCCACATGAATCTCTAGTTTCATTAGTGTCTACTTCAGGCATAAATATTAAAAAAACTACATAAAAGAACTGAATGATAATGTGCAGGCTTAATAAAGAAACACACTGCAGCATAATTTGTTAGAATATAAAACGGTGCACCAAATGTCTTCTCGCCTTTGCTACAGCATAATGAATATCCTCCTGCTCGTTCTATAGGGATGCATTCAGCCACGTCCAGGAGAGGAGGTTCTGCATCAACCCCAACGTGGGCTTTGTGCATCAGTTACAGGTAAGTCTTCACGTCCAAACATTCTGATTAATCAGTAAGACGGTCCAGTCGATACTACTAATTTGAAAGTCAAGGAAATATAAAAATACACCGCCACTAGCTCCTTGACTTTAAAAGGCTTGGGTGTGTCTGTATTAATAATGACTGCAGCAAAATGATTCAGCATCCAGAGCTCTGACCCTTTCTTTCCCCAAGGAAGGCAGTGTGAATCATGGGATGTATGAACAATATTGCTGCAGACTATATGCATGCTTGCACTGCATGTTTGTCCCTAAACACTCATTCAGATGACGTTATCTTACAATATGTGTTTTCATTCTGAGTGATCTCCTGCCGGTGTGACTCTGCAGAAATGATTTTCCTATCTCCAGTATGCATATGCTCCTCTGCAGTCTTCTCTTACCCAGCCTTCAATGGCCACATTTAGTAACCCACATTTTATTCAGACATCTTGCAAGCATGTGTTTCAGTACATTGTTTATTAGATGTTATATAAATAATCTTTTGAGGCTCTGCAGTAGCTCACCTGGTAGAGCTAGGTTCCAGTCACGCCCAGGCCCTTTGCTACATGTCATCCCCTCTCTCTTCCCTGTCTGTCGCTCCACACGCTATCAGTGTGCGACTATGATAACAGAGATATTCTTTTGTTATCGTCTGTGCTCATTCTAAAAGAAACTCCTAATAGCTGTAATAATGTTTGTTTGTTTGTTTGTTTGTTTCCTAGGAATATGAAGCGATCTACCTAGCCAAATTGACTATTAAAATGATGTCACCGATGCAGTTGGGCAGGTCTTTCTCCTTACAAGCTGGGATGCCAGGTTTGTACATAATGTACCCAGTCCTGCTTAGTCACACCTGTTTCCTCACGGGAGAAAAGTTTAGCTGAAGCTGTGGTTGAGTGGGAATAAAAGTAGAAAAATGAAATACAGAGCGATTACGATTCTCAGCCACACGATATTCCAGAAAAGCATTCAAAATAGTTCTGGTGTCATGTTGTTTGGGCGTAGGATACACAATATGGATTTTCTTTCAGCTAATACCCATAATTACCTGCTTCTCATGGCTGATATCGATAATTTCACATTCTTGTAACCGAACGTGTAGTTTATGCAAACCTGAGGGTAAGAAAGGCTAAGATTTAGTGATGATTCAATACTCTATAGCGCTGACCTAATCAAATCTGACATCACAATTGTTAACACCAAACAGTGCTGACTTTATAAATGTTCAAGAACAAAAATTCTAAACAATAATATAATATCACAAGCATACTTAGACTTTAAGCCTATCAAACTGTGTCGGCCGTGGTAAATATCACGCAGTTATTGCAGACTTCTTTTTTAACTCTGGTCATGAAGAGGGAACTTGCTTGTGTTGATGTATGCGGTATGTTCAGGTATTCTTTTTGTTTCCACACTTCATTTAACAGGAAGCCGTAAACGCAGCCTGGAGGAGGACGAGGACTTTGGAGCAATGCAGGTCACAGCTGCGCAGAACGGATGAGCTTTGCTGATATTTAGCCGTTTGGCGCAGTGCACTCTTTCTTTTTTCCCCATTTTTTTTTTTACATTTTTAGTGGGATTAAAAATGTAAATATTTGAACTTTTTCTAAGGGGAAGGGACTGGGGTGGGAGTGGGATCACTCATGTCTGAGACATGGAGTACTGATGGGGATGGGGCAAATTTGATAACTTTTTTTTCTTTTTTTTTTTTCCTTGAGCTGTATGCACTGATGGGAGATTTTTTGCAGTTTTATAGTATTTAAAGCATTTTGCATTTGCAGCGGGACAGTATTGCAATAATGCACTTTCGATACTTGAATTTGTGTAGACGACCAGAATGGGGCAGTGGGCAAAAGGGAAAGTAGCCAGGACTTCGCCCAGTGGAGGACATGAGAAGAGGAATAGCTAATGCCTTTATTTTGGGAGTAATAGGATTATGGACTAATATCAGGCTTAATGTGGGATAGTAAGGAATGGAAAAAATAACAACTCACTGCTTAATAAAAAGAAGTCTGACTCAGTCCTGTTGAGCTGTGTTTGTGTATCATAATGCAATGCTGTGCTTCACAACTTTCAGTTCTTCTTTCCAGTATTTGGTTTATAAATATTATTGAAACATATTTACAGACCCATTTTACAGGGTGAATTCTATAAGGATTCATTTTGAGACAAATATGCAATGACAACACTATGTGACTATGGAAATTAACATTATAATTAATGTGAAAATATGGCCAATTTAGCTGGGTTTTCCAAAATCCTATGTATGACAGACTTACTCGTGTCCTTAAACCTCACCTGCAAGGCTGGAATGCCACACTTAAGGTTCTTCATCACTCCTCATGAAGTATTTTAAGTCTTTGTGCTTATCTACATGCTAAAATTATCTATTTCAACTGTGGATAGAAAATGTTTTGTTACAACTATGACTAGTAGATGTGCCCATCCCATAGCTTCCTATTTGTACGACAAAGCTTCTACAAATAAATATATTTTTTAAGTTAAAATATGAATCTTTTGTAGTTTAAAGTTAAATGATTTCTTTTACTACTAGAAATATATGCAAGGACACACAGTACACCATAGAATATTTTATGTGACTATTACATATTTGGAAATAAATTACATTAAATATGTTCCCCTGTTCTCCAGATTAACAGCATTATTACAAAACTTAAATAGCTCATTTACAAAAGTCATTTTTATCCATTCCCCATCACAAAATGCTTCGATCCTAAACAGTCGTCAAATTCATCACCCAATACAAAAACCTTAAGAACGCGCCTCACCCCTGTCTCACACAATACAGACCTTTTTGTTTGTTAGAAATATTATACATTATAACAGTCTTGACTTGATAGTAATGCTTCAAGTCTTGGAAGTATTTGAACCTTCATTATAGTTATCCAGCAACATTACTGTCACCGAAAGAAAAGCCTGCTGAGATAGAGAGCACTTTGTACTAATGAGGACGAGTTAGAAAAATTACACCCAAGTAAAAGTCTCTTAGAGAAGAACGTTTCTAATCACACTTAAAGAAACAAGCAGCTGTAGCCGGTCATAAATTATTTAACAATCATATAGTTGCTTCGGATATATAACTTAATTTGGTGCCACCTAGATTTCCAAAGCAATTGTATTTACTAGCAGTTACATGATAGTTCCATATATATTTTGTATTTTCTCTGGGAGTACACGCAAATCAGCTATTAACAATGTAACACAATAAGACATTACATTTACAGTAACTGACATTCTTCAGATGGTGGTGTGGGGGGGGGGGGGACGACAGGGCTCCACCCTGGTGAGGTAGCCGTGGTTACCAAAG